GTTTGCTGGGATAAGGAAGTATCATTGTGATTGTATTTCGCCATAAACAGAAAAAATGGAACGTTAGTACAAGACTGGAATGTATTGTAAGACTAAAGATTAGATACATCATTTAACATTTTCCACTTCTGAAGGCAAGACTCAAATACAGTAATATTCCTAAAATAGAATTTAGTTTTAAAACAGTTAATATCTGGTTTTAACGTTAAGCATTTAAAGGCAAGACTGGAATACGGTAACATTAATAAAATAAGACATTGTTTTACTGGTTTTAACATTTACGTAAGCGTTTTGGTAACTGCACTGTAGAAACGTTATTTTTGTCGTCTGCGTAGCCACTAAAATCTTTACAAAAGTCGTGTAGACAACAATTAAATGTACAGCAGTGACACGTTCTGCACGTCCAGGAAATGGGCGAGACGCGCATTACAGCGATAATTGACGTTGCAAGCTAGTTGAGTTACACTGCTGATCTCTCACTCGTCACGGCCGCTCTTTTAAAGCGAGCCATTGTATTAACCGGTCACAGACAGTAAATACCGCTCGCTACTCTCGACATAATTTTTCAGCGTTGGACATAGAAGAGAAACTACGTTTAATCGACGTGCGTTCCAGTGCTGCTATTTTTCTGACTAGGCAGAGTTTGCATGGTATCACAGTTGCAATAATAAATGTCCTTAGCTCTGTAAAATATTAACTTCTATTAAACAGTGTTACAAAATTTGTATCCTACGAGCACTTAATCTTAACATTTTTTTTTTCACTGATATTATTACAGTATCCAATATGAATTCAATTTGGTGCAGTTTCAGATGAATATTTTGAAAAATTGTTCTGTTTTTCTCATAAGACTTTTTATTCGGGTGTTTTGTCTCGTATAGACGTCATTAATTGCGATTGAAAACCCGAATCATGATGTTGGGAGAGCGGTCAAGTCTGTATTAGACGTGACGTTACTTTTAGAGTTGTGACTAACATGTTGCGTCGCAGTTGCCTAGTAATACACGGCATTAGGAAAGGAGTAGTGGTAGCACCATTTCACTCGTAGGCCGGTCAGACATCCCTCACAAACACAAACAAAAAAATAGCTCACGTTCAATAAAATACAAGTTCCGATATGTCCGACCATTCTTGCGGTCCGCTCAAAATACGTGAACTGTATTTAATCACATTAATACTGAGCAACTTCCTGTACAAAGCCATTAGTTTCCCTCTGAACAATAAGATCGTCTCAAATATTTTAATTCAGCAAGTTCCTTGTGGATGCATTATAACAGAAAATTTCATTTTGAGAAAAATTCTATTTGCCAAAACCTTCAGATTCTTATCATTTCCTCATTAATTAATTTTCTAATGGACAGGATTTGAATAGAATTAAATATTGCAGCAGTGGACAAGCTCATTTCTGCATTCCGGTATTTCACGAGTACATATTTGTGCTTTTTTTTTTTGTACTCGATACCATTTGACACATTCCCTGAGATCGCTATGTTATTGACATAATCAAACTTTGGTAGCCTGAAGAAGTTAACTGATAACGGAGCGCCACGCATTCCCTGACTGCACAGCGGAAGTTCAACGCATTTCTGATCATTAGGCACTACGAGTTTCAAAGAATGTTGAATGAATTTGCTTGGATCGTTCTGAAAGTGCAGTTGGCAGCGTGTTTTTGTCGTCTGAGTACTTTCAGTTATATTTTATGAGAAAGAAGTTGCTCTTATCTGCTCGCATTTTTAGAACTGAATCGTATTTGGTATTACGCGTGTTAGAAGAAATGGATGAATTTGATATTTATGCACAATCAGCAAAACTTTCCGCTGTGCAGTTTAAGAATGTTTATCTGATTAACTTCTTTTGACTGTACTATAACAAGGAGTTTCTCAGCGTCATGTAGAAGTGTGCGACAATAATTTATACATCTACATTTTTACATCTTAATTACTGCACATTACACCGAGCCTTTTGTTCGCCAACTTTACGGACTAGAACTCCTCTTTTGTACAATATAATCTTGAATTATTAGGGTCTGATACAGCAATGCCCAACATTTTGACAGCTATAGAACGCGGAGTTTTCTTTCTTGAAAGCTCCGCGTCAGTCCCACCCCATCACATAAAAATCGGAACTGCAGGCCCGGATCTCCAGCTCCTGGGCCGGCTGGAACCGTCACACGCTTATTGCTTTGTCGCTGATACTGCCATCGTGAGGCTGGAAAATGGCACCCAGCTCTTCGTCATCAGCTTGCTGCGCTAGCTTCCTCCTGCAAATTGAGCAACCGACATGGTATTTGTAAAGATGGTAGAAATTTATAAGATTTGTGTAGATTGGCATGCCCCTCAGATTAAAATGCACACCGACACATTTGATCAACATTAATTTTCTATATGATATTCCACAAGATTCAGGTTTTTTTTAGTTACAAATCATTCTGTCTCTCTTGTTGGACTGCAATGCAATTTTAAAAATGATCTAATGTGACAGAGGACCTGAATTGAGGCCAACATCAAGAACACATGACAATACATTAATCAAATTTGGTTAAAAATATGAGCATAATTTCAAGCAGCAGTAAACATTATATAGATTGAGACATGATATGAGATTTATTTTGGTGTACGGGACAAAAAAACATAATTTTAAATACATGCACGAAAATATAAATTCTTCCATTATTTATAATTATCGATATCATACTATAATGACAAGGCAACCCGGAAGGGACGTTATATAGTATATATAATCGAACGATAATCGTCATCATTGCCTGATAATCGATATGCTGGAAGAACTATCGATTTCAATATATTGTGATTATTATCTTCTCAAACATTATGATTAAAAATTTAAAACAACAAGATTTTAATGATAACATATTCGAAGCTAATAAACACAATACATTATTTAAGGAAGACACTGGAATGCTATCTTAGAGGATTATCGATATTCGACTCACCCCCCACCCTGTTGCATATGACGTTCCGCTAGTTGCAATTTGCGTAACATGGCCGCAAGATCTTGCTACTTTCATATAACATGTAGTTAATTTAATTATTTGTGTGAACCAGATTGTGATTTAACAAAGCCCGTGTGCGCGGTTAGATTCGTGTGTGTTTCTGCAAGTGACCATAAATAATTCAGTGACATGGGTGTTTGTCGTGCTGACCACACGTCACCTGTATCTGGTTGGATGATTATTCAACTCTGCTTAGGCATGTGAACGTGAGGCCAGCAGTCAGCTAGTCGGCTTTGGCTCTCAGAGGGAGGTTATGCCACGGATTATTATTATTGTGTTACGTTTAGTTTCTGTAGACTGTTTGAAGCCCGGTTGTGAGTGTTGTTCTGTGTTGTGATGGTACGACAAAGGACTTCGTCCTGAACAGTAACAGAAAAAGGTAAGTTTGCTTCTCGCAAAACAATTGCCATATTATACCATTGATAGTGTATATAGTGATTTCAGTTCGTGTGGTTGTAAGCGGATAACTACATTTCTCAATGTTAACAGTTCTTGGTAAATAGCTGTTTGGTATTGTCTGTTGCTGTTTTTCATATTCTGTGATTGTTTTTTTATAATTGGATTTAACTTTTCTGAAGATCAGTGGTACGACCTTTTTGACTGCTTGTTTCAGTTTTGAATGTTTGTAGTCACATAGTAAACGTCATCAGATTATAACTACCTATGCACTGTAAACCGGTTATTCAATTCTGTATCTGGGTGACGTCAGGAACAAATCTGAAGCAGAAATATCTCCGTTAAAAGTGAGCCATTATGGGAATGCAGTTAAAAAAATGTCCGCATTTTACTACGTGTCGTGGGCGCATCGGTCCTGTTGTAGAAAACTAGCAAACGGCGGTTGGGGGGGGGGGGGGGAGATATGTGAGGGTGTCTCGAGTGTGTGCGCGCGCGCACGTGCATTCACCTGAGAGGGCGTAGCGTATGTCTAGGCCGGGGTCACCTCACAAAGTAATTCTGAATTAATTTTTATATAAATATGACAGTTCCTGGGGGGTTTAGTACCGGAAGTGTCTAGGGCAGGGGTTCTCAACCTTTTTCGCTGGCGTACCACAAATTTTAATCTAACACACTTAATGTACCACTAACAAAATGCGTTCAGGGAAAACTCAACATTGACTCGCGTACCACGAGTTGTACTCGTACCATAGGTTGAGAAACGCTGGTCTAGAATATTACAGCGTTTTCAGTGGAATTCTTCCCCGTGATATTACGATACTACAACTTTCCGATTTTCACAAATGTTTTGTACAAGATTTAAGATGAAGCTAGGCACGTAATGTGACCGTACTTTAGAGAAACAAAAAAGAAATCAGCCTGTTTTTGTTGTTGTTGTTGAAATGCAGATGCATAGGCGTACTCACTTCTTTCTTAAGTAGAAAATTATGAATATTATGACTCCATTTCCAATTAGCAGCACACATATTATCGTAGTTGGTAACATTACATCTGAAACAAAATAGTAAAAATTAATTCTGGAACATTTTCCTTTACTAAAGCTGATCATGCTTATCAGATCATCACAAATATATCATCGTTTTTAATTAAAGCACTGACGCATTTAATGAGCTGGAATAGGTGAGTCAGCAGACTTCGATTCCAGACAGGGGCAGCCTCCTGTCCACTGAATATTGGGGTAAGCAGGCCGGAGTGAGAAGCTGAGACTAATGCCGAAATTAAGAACGCGTGGCTCTTGGTCTCTTTCCCCTTCCCCAATGTTTCTTAATTACTTTGTCATGGACAGAATTTACTTGTAGGCATTCCCATTTGTTTACTGTAAAACAACTAAGTAAGCCAAAAATAATTCGTCAGCTTTTGTTCTTTTTCGCCCCCTGACGCGTGTCTGTTGCTTGTTCGACCAAAACACACAAAAGCAGAACCACCAGCCTCCCTTACCGTAGATGAAGTCAGACTCCTTTATCACCACTGCCATCGCAGTCGTGAGGTTCGTGTCTGCATCCGGTAACCTGATGAGTGAGCTGTTTTTGGTCCAGATGCTGCTGGTAACATCTGAAACAGATTTCGTGTGCTATTGACGTGATCCAGCGTCCATTCCGGATTAGGCAATGGAAGATATGCGAATTACGAGAGAGACGTAGTCGAAGGGAAGGGCAGGGCAGGGCACTTACTGATGCAGTTTGGCAGGACTGTACTCCAGGTGTGTCCGCCCTCGCAGTACAGTCTCCTGTCCCTTCGCGAAGTGTCCGGGAACACGAACCCGACGCAGCACATGTACTCCGCGTGAGAAGCGTTGTGGTCCACCAGGTAGCCGTCCTCAGGAGTCTTCAGGGGCGGGCACCCCAGCGCTGTGGAGGAAGACGCGGGGGCATTCTTTCACTTCAATTTCTTTGAAGCTCAAACCATTTTAATTCATGCCGTAGGTCTCGACCTCTATCGGGAATCGAAAACCGTCTGTATTTGTATGAAATTAGTTTACTCTGCGATTGTCAGGCTTTCTGTGTGCCTTTTGCGTGATCGATTGATTAATTAATGACAACACCCGAATACCGAAGTTGGCAGCAGTTGGCTCTCTCACGCACCTTTGTACTGGAAGAGGACGCCTCTCTTCGGGAAGATGTTTTTGCTTCTGATGGACACGGAGACATCCAGACCCTCGCCCTCGGACTCGATGACGATGGTTTCTTCCCTCTCCCCGCAGAGTGACAGGCGTTGTCTGTTTCCTTCCCTCACCGTCAGACGGTCAATGCACTCTGTCTCTGTGGAGCCGATATCTGTAAACGGCAATTCGGAATTCGGTCAAACTCGGCGTCATAAAATACCCACTGCACCAAAATGGCAGAATTTGTATAAATAATACTGCAAGGAGAAGTGTTATTAGGTTTAGGGATTATATTTTTCTGCGTGTCGCATGATCGGGCAAGAAAAGAGAAACGTTTCTGGAATCATTCAACGGTAGCTCTGCGGGCACTCTACTCGTATTTAGTAATTCAGTCCGTACCGCAAGGAAAACTCTCAACGTCTCCATTACGAAGATTAGTTTGTAGAATCTGTTTATGGAACAAGGAACCATTTACACTGAGAAGTGTAAGGAACACAACGAAATCCACGCATGTAGAGTGTTAAACTGGTGAGACAGATACGTACCTCCAGGGTTTAAAGGGTTAGAAAATCAGAAAAAATTATTAGTTGGGAAGGATTCTCGGCTTTCATCCTCTGAACCGTTTACAATTCGAGTGTGCTGTTGGAACAAGGTGAGGTTAGGTTAGGTTTTTGCTTGGCAGCTTAATCAGCGAATGACAGTTTCCAGCTTTGACGTTACAATCGTCGTTTGTGCATAGATGACGAGAGGTGTATTGAAACGATAATCGATTTGGAGTTGTGTTCCGTTCTGTCTTTGGGCCACGCACTTTTTAGATTATAATCGATATAAATTGAATTTCCTGTTCCGTTGACCGTTATTTCAAATGCACTGGAGCGGGACTTTTGGTGGTTCAACATTTTTTTAAAGAAGATACGTATTTAGGAATGTGTTGAATTTTGAATCGACATCATGGCTGTTTTGTACTGAGTCCCACTTTTCGTTACTTAGATGTGTTGTAAATTATTTAATAGTGTCTTCATTTATAAGCCTTTGTCATTTTCTGTAATTACGGTAATTGGAGATCGATTTTGAAAATACATCGTGATAATTGTTACATTGGTAAGACATTTTGGAGATGGTATCGTAGCTAATTCAAAGGATGTAATGTCATAATCTAAGAAATATGTGGAGTGTAGAATATGAGACTGGAAATTTAATTCCATATTCGAAACTTTAACTGTTACAATCAATTCTTATTTAAATGCTTTTTAATAACTGACCCCTAGGAATAACAATCACAGGAGTTGGACACTGAAACAGTTGACATAAAATGTTGCAATTGTGCACTGCAATTTTATTCTGTACTAAAATAATGGCGTTGCTTATGTTTCATATCACAAGCCTTTAACAAACCCTTTCTTAATGCCAACCAGAACGGGGAAAGTTGTAAGAATTAACTGGAGGTCCCTTTGTTCTGTGGCCGTTTAACGCTCCCATTTATGCTTAGGTTTTCCAAGTGGTTTTCCTCGTTCCCCCGACATCCGTTCCCGACTGCGTTCGTTTTCCGTCGATACCTCTGAGTGAGATGTCTAGGAATGACAAGTGAACGCGCTGCCCCTCCTGTGAACGCAGCTTCCAGGTACAGTCCCTCTCAACGCTGTACTGCGGATATCCGGGCGTCTCCACGAAGCCCTCCCCGACGACGCTGATGTCTTTCTGACAGTTCCTGGTGATGTGTTCTTCTGGGAACAAGAGAAACACGCATTAGCTTCAGACGATTCGAGTACAGTCCCGCTGCGTGCGTCGTGGTGGAACGGAGAGACGCAATGGGATCAGTGCGCCGCCATGATGATTAATGGCGGTGTCCTGGGGGGCGGGGGGGCGGTGAATAAAAGGCAGGCCTATAGGCTCAACTGCTTTCTGCAAGAATGATTTTACGCCAGATGGACGTGAGTCAGAATTCTACCGCGTGCGTGAATGCGCGTGACTGGGGACGTCTGTAAATCAACTTGTCATATTTAGTGGGGTATTTGATTTGAACTTTGCGACGGTCAGGTGGGCGGGATGGCATCGTCATTGTAGGGGAGGGGGTGATCTGGGTGCATTGCACTTGAGGCGTCGAAGTTGATGGACGCCTGTGGTCCATTGCCGTGTCCGACATGCACCGAACTTCGCTACCCGGTGCTCGGCACTCCTGCGTCTCATTCGGAAGGTCGCGGGTGCAGTTCTAGGACCGGAGACCGGCTAACCTGACTGAGGGTTTCCGTTCTTTTTCTCAAGGCACATGTCACAGCCCGCTGCTTGCCGTTTTCAGTCACGTGTCTTCTGCGGTCACGTGTCCTCTCCTAGTGCGTTAATTAAGTACACGTAGACAGCCGGGGAAGTCTTCCAATCAGTTTCCATGGCAACGGACTTGCAGAACGCGAATCGATACAGTCTTGTAGAGTAATTAATTTGAGGTCTGCTGCGGAATCAGCCGAATCTGGAGACGATTCTCATCAGAGCGAGAATTTGGAGAAATTGCCAATTCCAGTGTTCGTCGCTATCAACTAACGCAATTTTGTACGAGTTTTGAGCTCGCAGATGACACAGCGTCTGGAGACTTGTACTTGCATGTCGAGTTTATGTGGACAAGAAAGATTCTATGAATTGAATCTCCACAAGTTCATTTACCTTTGGTCAGTGAACGGTTCCAGTTGCTGATACATCTGCGTGTGTCCTCCAGAGACTGCCGGAAGTACTTGTCAGAATTGCCCAACTGACGTCACAGCTCAGTAGTGCGACGCCCCCCTCCACATTGTATGTGTGTGTGGGGGAGGGGATATGACCGTGTCCAGCTGCATCTGGAGAACCCCTAAATTGCATTGCCCGTCACACATGCTGCATCTGCGGTCCAGATTATAAACTCTCTTGTTTCCAAGTTCGGAGAAAATTTTGAACTGCCATCTGTCAGTCTCTATACGAAGTCTTGGTTTTGTGTACGTTCGTCTGAGCACACGTCACGCGTTCCTGTTCACCTGCGACAGCCCACAAGTTGGCATTTCGTCTTCTCGTCCGTCGTCTGACTTGCCCAAAGACACTGGAGGAAACTACGAAAAATTCAACCAGGATAGCCGATGTCTCTGTCGAGACTCGAACCAAAGACATCTCTAATACGAAGCAAAACCGCCAAGTACTTCACTGCGGCGCGGAAAAAAATATTTTGATTGAACTTGAAGAGTTCTAACCTGCAGATACACGACTTTCTTCAGAAACTGCCAAAGAAAGAAAGAGTAATTTGCTTAAAGCAGCCCTTGGATGAAATGCTCGGCTCGTCCTTCGTGCGCGAGCTGCAGAGCAGATCGTGCGTAATAACACTTCAATCGGTACGACCAAAGATCCCTCGTCGCTGTGGAGGATCAGCTTCTGTAATATCAAGCTGTATCATGACGGAAGATAAATTACAGAGGGCAGGGCCGGCTCAATCTCCATAGGACGCACAGCTACTCACTACGGCACTGAGCCGGGGCACACGCCCCCCCCCCCCAAATCTTTAGACCGTTTCCACCTAAAGCGAAATCAATCACTTCCCTTAAAGCGGTCTGTCTACACATCGCAAAGCTCCAGTGGCGAATTTAGGGTGTGAAAATCGGGTCTCCCAGTCACAGAGGTAAATATTATATCGAGGGGTCGGAGAACATTGTTCTGGGGAGAATATGAGGACCTAAGAGGGGTGAAGTCCCATATGGCTGAGGAAAACTGCATTATGAGAAACTCCGTAATTCGTGTTCTTGATCAATGATGGACGAGGCTTGTGGCAAATTCATTAAAAATCGTTATCAGAGTCTGTAGGGAAGACACCCGGACGAAATCAGGGCTCTGATATTGAGATGGATGTTCCGAAAACGGGATGCGTTTGGACCGGATTCATCTGGCTCAGAATAGAATCGAATGGCGGACTCCTTTAAACATCCGGCTCGGAAATTCTTTACCACCTGAGCTACAGCAAGCTGCTCAAGAAGTCTACTATGCATGGCATGTGTCCCCCCCCCCCAAAAA